TGGCTGATGACCTTGGCGACCTCGCTGAGGTTTCGCTTTTGTAGAGGGCTCAGTGCCTTCTCAATGACACCAACGTTTTCAGGGGCAACAACTGCCGGTTGCAAGTAGAATCGCCAAAGCCAGCTGGAGACAACTTGTAGAAGGTTCTCGGGGGGTTCCCGCTTGAATTGCTGTCGTAGGTTCTCAAAGATCTGGTTGCAGACAAATCGAAGGCCGTAGGGCATCTTGTGCAGGAAGTCCTCAAGAGCGAGGAAAAATTGGTCGCAGATCTCTCGAAGATCACGCAAGTGGTCGATGAAGAGGCGGCGAGTCTCGGGGTCGCGAATAGCAACTTCTCGAGGGACATCAAGCGGCCTTTGATCAGGTCGACCGGTGGCCAGCTCAGTATTGTTGATGGCTGATCGGTAAATCTGCATGGGATCACTCTCAAGGTCCAGAGCAGGATCTTCAACGATGTTGTCTCTGATCAGAGGACCAAGAAGATCTCGAAGGTACTTACGATCTCTTGGTGAGCGAGTGTAGTTGTTGAGAAGCTTAGACCAGAAGAAGTTGCCGCGAATGAAGTCCTGAACATCTCGCGCACTCACAATCTCCTCGCGAATTGATCGAGCGATCAGCTTGAGCAGATAGTACTCCTCTCGTCGTTTCTGAGCATAACCAAAGAGACTCATCATCAAGAGCTCGATGCGTTTGCACTCCTTCTCGGCCGTTCCTTGCTCGCGAATGCGCTTGAACAGACGAGCGAGGTACTGTGGCTGGGTTTGCAAGTTGAAGAAGAGTTGTTGGTAGGATTCGAGCTTCTTGCGCGAGCTCTTGTTGAGTGCTTTAAGATCAAACTGGTTGGCAGAAGACATGGAGCTGTTGGCGATGAAGTGCATTGAGTTACCTCCGTAGTTGTGCTGATGCCTGACGACTTCGTCGAGTGTAATCTTGTTCTTGACCAGGAGGGCAATCTTGATATCAAGTTGATCGATGTAGTTCTCCAGCATCTCATTCTGTCGAACTTGTTGAACGACTGTCTTGCGGATACGTTCAAACTCGATTTCCTCATTGAAGTCGAAGTCACTGTCGTTAAGAAGATGGACAAAGTTCTTGACGGCGTTGACTGGAGGGTTCTTGCCAGTGGTCAAACTCTTGTAAGCCTCACCTTGAACCTTGGCACGGACAAAACTCTGGATCTTGATGACCTTCTGCATGTTCTCGTTATAGAAGCGCTTCTTCTCTTCAAATCGAGCCCTTACGATGAAACCTCGGGCTGCGGTCTGCAAGGCAACAATACATTCCTCCTCTTGCTCCAATTCGGCCATGATATCCTCGACTCTAGCACGCTCCATCATGGCTCGTAAAATGCTTTGGAGATCAATGATCTTGGGGGTATGAGATTCAAGCTCGTCGAGGAATGCCTTGTGCTGCTGGCGGTACAAGAATCCCCGAATGTTGCCCTGGAGGGCTGTAACCTGAGGTTCTTGCTCTTCGAGCTGTTCAAGGATGGCTGCAACTCTTTGGCGTTCAAGCATGGCCCTAATAAGACCTTGGAGGCCAATGAATGCAGGTTCGTTCTCCTTAAGAGCATCAAGAGTATCGGCAACATTTCTCCTCACAGCAGCGGCGCGAGCAAAGGCTTGAAGCTGCTCAACACCAGTCGTGTGCTTGTTAAGCTCAGCTCTTAATGTCTTGTCGTCTTTGCGAGCGCGGAGTCCACGGGCAAAAGCTTGAAGTCGTTCCACTGCTGGGGCGTGTTGGCCCAGTTCAGCTCGTAGTGCCTGGTCATTCTGGCGAACACAGAGTCCGCGAGCTAGAGCTTGAAGTTGCTCAATCGCGGGGCTATGCTTGTTGAGCTCAGATCTTAGAGCCATGTCGTCCTGACGAGCGCGGAATCCACGGGCAAAGGCCTGAAGCTTCTTCCATTGGGGTCCAAAGGAGCGTAGATGCTGCTGCTCGCGGTTGACCTGAGTTCTAGTCAGCAATGCCCTCGCCGCCGCCTGCAGGTCAACAATCGCTGGGGATTCCGCCTCCAACTCTTCAAGATCCTGGTCGACTTTGCCTCGTAGCAAAGCTCCACGGGCTGCTGCTTGCAGCTTCTCGACAATACCAGAAGATTTCTTAGTCTCTTGGTATTGCGCAACATGGCTCTTGCGGGCCAAAAAGCCCCTGGAGATTGCTTGGATCTCCCTGATGGGCCCTCTACACTTTGCAAGCTGAGCAGTCACATTTCGTACCTGGTTTCGAGCCTTATTGGCTCTGATCATGGTTTGTAACTCCAAAATATCGGGCTCCAGCGCTTCCAAGATCTGGTCGCGCCGATCCAACCTTCTTCGTGCCAAGAATCCACGTGCTGAGCTCTGCAGCTGGATAGCAAAGCGCTTCATTTGCAGTCGATAGTCCATGATTTGTCGTGTAAAGTCTCCTCGAATGCGAGATTGAAGGTCTATTAACCACTCCTCCTCATCCCAAAGGGTCTGCATTGTCTCACCAAGCTTAACACGTAGGAGAGCACCTCGGATTTGTGCTTGCATATCAACGATGGACTCTTCGTTTTCTCTCAACTCCCTTTCGATCCTTTCCTCCTCAGTCTCTTCTGGTTCAGGCTCGGGCTCAGGAACACCAAAGTCGGCACTCATGTTTCCGAAACTAGGCATTGTAACGCCGAGTTTATCGAGACCCTTCTGCATAGCTTCCAATTCATGGTGTTCGAATTCAAGCTGACCGACGAGGTTGCCTATCCTGAAGTCGACTATGCCCTTGCGGAATAGAAGCCAACTCAGAGCATGAATACAGTAGATAACCTTGGGTATGTTCTTTTTCTCGTATAGATCAATCAACTCGAAGCGAAACAGATCGGGCAGCTCAACTTCGTCAAGGTATCGGAAAAATATGGCAATATTGTCGGAGTGTCGATATTGGAGCCTAGGGTGTTGGAAGATTCGGTAGCGTCGATCTGGGTTCAGAGCTTCGACCACTTCTGCGAGGGTGACACCATCACGGAGCGCCTCCTCAAGCTCAACAATGGGAGGTATAGATTTATGGATGACATCCTCAATCCATTCCTTGGCTTCACCGATATGGCAAAGGTATTCGTATGCTTGAAGGAACTGGCGCTGTTTGTCCATCCAGTTGCGCCCTTCCCAACTGTAGCCAGTTGACTTCTGGCTTTGGCCGCCATTGCTCCTATCGGCTCGTTGCAATCTTCGTCGACCGCGCAAGCCAACAACTTCTTGCGCAGGTGAGGTGATGGTGAAATCTTCAGGTGAGTCGGACGATACAAGACGCGAAAGCGTCCTTAATTGACTTGTGGAAGACTTGCCCAATCCTTCCAACTCATCCCGAGCTATGTGCGTGCTATGCACATGATGGGGTGATGAAGGAGCTTGGGTAGCTTCTGGCAGAAACGTGTCGGATCGAGTGAGCAGCATAGAATTTGGTCGCATCGGTAGCGGGCGAGAAGGTGATGACGTTTTTACTGGCGACGTCTTGATTGGTGAAGTTGATGTTTTTGTTGGTGACGAGCGACCATCAATGTGCGCCATTGAGAGCTTGCCAATATCGACGCTCTTACCGCGATCATGGCGAGGGACTGCATGGGGAGGCGTTGAAGGAGGTGTGGATGCTGGAGCCTGTGGGAGTGGGCGAAGAGAATGCCGAGCTGAGCTATAGATATTTTCGGGAGCTTTCTTTGAGGTCATATTTTCTCCAGCTTCAAAGGTCTTTGCCCTTGCCCTGACATCGCTCTGTGCTCGCTTGTGGCCATGCACTGTAGCTCCGTTACCAGCCGAACTAGAGGCGGACGTATATTGACTATTGAGGCTGTGGTCTGAGGCGTGGGAGTAGCCTGATGAAGCGGAGGATGACGTTGTCGAGGGGAAGCGGTTGAGGAGAGACGGTGAGATGTTGGAGTTGGAGGCGAAGTCGATTGTACGCGACTGGCGGAGAGGTCGCAGATGTTGATGAGATTGTGGCTGCGATTGCGATTGCGATTGCGCTTGGCTTGGAGAATGGTGTTGAGTTTGAAAGTAATGAGTACGGGACGACATTGTTCAAGTCTTTTAAGAAGGGAGTCGCTGGCCAAGCCCGCAAACTCTTGTCTCGTCTTTTCTTGATTTCGACTTTGGAGTCTCTGCTCAGCAACGTAGTAAATCGATTTTCCGTCTGTGACGTTAACGCATTGTTTCGAGCGTTGCTCGGCTTCGTCTGGTCAGAGGAATGCTGTATCAAGGCGTAGCGGCTTGGAATCCTACAAGATCCAAGACAAGCTGAATTATATGCAGCAGATAAAACAGGCGAACAGTGTAAAAGCGAAAAATAACAAACACCAAAGCCAAGGTGTTGCAGGATCAAAGAATAAGATGCTGGTGCCAATACAAGCAGCGCAAATGCCGTCACTTTGTTCTTGTGACGAGACAATAAGACGAGTTTATGCCCAAGAAAATGAACTCTAGGACCTATGGGATGCTATAGCGAGCGAGTGAGCGTCAAGGCACCCGATGGCGGGGCGTTGGATTTGCCGGAGTAAACAAAACAACGGGCAACCGCCCAGCAACGGCCTCTCTGCCTAGTCCCGATCGGTGACATGCGGCTGATGATCCGCTTTTATGTCTGTCTGGTTTATCCTTGCAAAGTCTCTCATTTGTTCAACATGGTCAGTTTTTATGCGATTCAGAAGCAACTATTATGCGCTGTGAAGTGTTCTATACTACGTGTGATCTCTCAGTTGCTGTCTATGAGTTTGAGTAAATATTACAAGAGCAGATCGAGGTTATGTTGTTTATTTACTGGTCTGTATCAAGTAGACTCCAACTCCCCTTGCAGATCTAGTGTCACAGCTCTCCAGGTCGTCAATCAAAACACGCAAAACTCCATATTGTGGATGCTCAGCCTGTATCTAGCGAAGTTTATTGCCAGATTGGCAGTCTAGGGGAGGAAAGAAAACACAGGACCCCAATCCTAAATGACAAAAAGACTTAGGTAATGTAGCCTAAGTTTAGGATGACTTTTTGCTAAGTTTATTTTGACACCCCACAGTAAGGTCCGCTGTTTTCTTGCTCCCTGAGGGCAGTCTAACCAGGTCAAAGCATTATCAGTCCACAATTGGTCAACTTGTTGAGTGTTGGAGATCCTTGCTCGAGCAAGGATGTTGGTTCTACACGGATTGACCACCCTGCTACCCTAGAGCGATGAGATGAGCCGCCATAGATCTTCTCCAATGCTTGTTTCTGATGAACTTACCGGGGTTTGTAAATCCAGGATGCGCTTCGATTCCAATGTGATAAGCTTAACATACTATGGAAAACATACACAGGTACTCAATGTTACTGTAGATCAGAAACGGGTTGCGACCTCACAAGTAACACACAACACATAGCACAAGACACAAGACACAAAGACAGAAAACGGTTATACCGTTTGTACAACAAGAACAGGCTGGGAACATGATGTCTCTGTCGTGTCTCTGTCAATGGTTCTATTGACAGAAACAAGCTTTAATAATAAAAAAGCTAAAGTCGAGAAAACATCCATTAGCACATGTTTGCGCCTCGCATCGTCAGTGGTGAGCCACGACAGCTTGGAAGCTTTTTTGATACGCTGTGGTTTGGTGGGGTTATATGAGGTCATCAGCGCAGAGCCAGTCCCAAAGCAATTGGCCCGAGCTGCGAACCCCATCGGATCAGAATCATTCGAATCTTTAAGCTTCAACCCTTGTCAACCGAGTTTTGACTTTTGAACTTCTCTACACCGTCAACCGTGATAATTCATTTCAATTGATCACTATCTACAAAGATCGCCGGTTTTATACTATCCATTTGCATAAGGGTGCTGATCCCTTAGGAGCCGCAATGGCGTCAAAGCAACGTCCATCAGTCCTGGTACTTATCATCAACTCTGCGCGCGTCCAAGAATACTGCTAATGCCATTCAGGTTACGGACGCGAGACAGAGACCACCCCAAAGAAGAGTTCTTCAACGACAAGACACTGGTGCAGGCGCTGGCGGATCTCAGGCACCAATGCGATTCATGACCGTCGACAATGTTCTTCAGTACAACTCTCAAATCCCTTCCGGCCAGCCACGCGGTCCCCCAGCACCGGTTCCTCATGGACGACACCCAGGACCCGCAGGCGGTGCCCTAAGTCGCCGAGTCTCTTCAGGCGGTCTACCCAATGCTCAGTCTCGCACCGGCCAGCCAATGCCCTCGAGAACGACAAAGATAAGCGAGAAGCTGGTCCTTCTTCCTGAAACAGGCGATAACGACGATGACGTCGACGAGGAAATCGAGAGCGAGTCGGTGCTCGCGCGCCGCGTACACGATGATGAGAATCGACCTCTGAAGGACGAAGAATTGGATGTCCTCAAGAAACGCGGCGGGATCCGCGGAAAGAGTTTTGCTGAGAGACTGTCCAAAATGCAGAGAACAGATAAGGTTAGCAGACTGACAGCCTACTGTACTGCACAAGCCTACAAGATTAAGCCGACTGCCGAGTTCCTGCGCAAGAAACATGAGGCTAAAACAAAAATTTACGACGACTGTCTATACGTCATCTACGCCTTGCCGCTCCTTAACGGTACTGATGGTTATCGAGTACGAAGCCGACCTATTCTCAAGACTCCTGGAACTGGAAAGACGGTACTAGACCTGGAAATCGAACGCAGTGAGCAACGGGACCACCATGAGGGATACTTCGAGGATGATGCATACGAAAACCCTAGTCCTGAGCGTGGCCATGAAATGCCTTCTCACTTGACTGACCGCCCATCAACTCCTGAGCGCAGCAACCCCTTCCGCCACGACGATGATGTCTCATCCATGAACCGACTTGCGCCCGACGCGAAGAATTTTGCTGAAATGTTTGTCTACTCCTACGGTGTCGTTGTCTTCTGGAACTTCACCGAGCACCAGGAGAAGGATATCCTTGCCGACTTAACATTTGCCGATGCGGACGCTACGGAGAATGGCGCTACCAGCCTTCTCACTCGACCCTTGGACCAGGAGGACTATGAGACCGAGGAGTTCCACTTCGAGTACAGCGCTGATATCAAGCGTCCTCGCATCTTTAACGATATGATCACTCTGCTGCCACGATCTGACCATATGATCAAACTCACCATCAGCCATGCTATTGCACAAAGTACGCGGCTGTGTTTCTTTGAAGAACGCATGAGTGAGACTATGATAAGTGCTCAGCATGTACCCAAGACGCTGGCTCTAACAGGAGAGCTTAACATGACACGCACTGAAATCGTGCGTATGTTGGGCCAACTCTTCAAGAGCCGGGTCGACATCAATCTATGTAAGTCTATCCACTCCAAATTACGGTATCTTAGTCTGACTATTTCACAGCGTCCAATATCCTCGATGTTCCCAATTTCTTCTGGGACTCTGAACCAACTTTACATCCACTTTACGCCGCCATCCGCGAGTACCTTGAGATCGACCCACGCATCAAAGTTCTCAACGAGCGATGCCGCGTCTTCCTCGATCTTGCCGAGATACTGTCCGACTCCGTTGCCGACGCAAAGATGAGCTACATCACTTGGATCATCATTGTCCTGATTATCGTTAGTATCATGGTTACCGTTACAGAAGTAGCCATCCGTTTCGGCATGCTCAACAAGGCAAAGGGTACTGGTATTGATCCGGCAATTATCGTACCTGCTCTTGGTGATGGCATATCTGGACAAGGCCATGTTGCCTTGCCACCAAGTGACCTCGAAATACTGGCGCAGACATTGGGCCTACAATCTAACGCCTCGTTCGACGATGTTCAGCAGGGTATTCTGGCTCTGAAAAAGAAGTCCCTTCCTGATGCCTCGATTGTACATGCTTCGCACGAGGATATCTGAGATTGACACATCCCATTTCTTACATTTCGCATAGCACGGCGTTAATGGATGGCTGTTATTCCAAGAATGTCTTTTCCTCATAAAAATGTTTACAGGGGTGGTGTTTTGTTAGAATGGACATCAATCCAAATAGGTTCGCGGCCTTTGTCTATCTAGCTCAGGAGTTCTTCGGGAATAAAAGATTTTCGCTTTCACTATCAGGTATAATAATACACATGTCGAATGCAGATGCAGCAACGCAGGCATTAATGTAGAGCATCTATTCTTACTCTGGAAATGCAAACCCTATTCAAGAAAATTGAAGAAACAACCAAAGTTGTATAGAAAAGGCCACATAGTTTCGGGGCCAGCACATTTTCGAAAAAACCCATAGCCCATGATCATGATAGTAATAACATCCTCAGTCTCCAATCTCCCCTCCGATCCTGCTTCGTGGTGGGCGAGTCCGTGGGGAGCCGCCGGATATCAAGCACAAATAGAATTTTACCAGATGTCGATCCATGCTACACACCCAGCAGAGATCCCAAGAAGCGAAGAAAAAAGACACCGAAAAAGAAGCAGTTCGCCTTTGCCAGTCTTCACTCGCCCGATCGTCTATAAAAAGGTCATGTATTAAAAGTGAGAATATCCGATCTCAATAGCGCACCAAGTTTACCGGGCCTGCTGCTCGACGGGCTTGTAGGCGGCGGCAGCAGCCTGTTGGCTCTTGCGGTTCTTGTTGTCGAGTTCGGCCTTGCTGTAGATGGCAGCACCAAGCATTGTGACGGCCATACCAGCACCGTTAAGCAGGTCGATGGTCACGTCGAAGAGGAAGATGCCGAGAGCAACAGTCAAGCACTGCTTGAGGTTACCACAGACGGTCATGGTCAGAGCACCAGCAAGCTTGTTGGTGTTGAAAGACGAGATGTTGAGCAGAAGGGCGAGGAAACCGTTTCCGAAAAGCGAGGCGAAAGCGGGAGGAAGAGAGACGTCTCCAGAGGTGATAAGCTTGTGGAAGCCGCTGACTTCACCGGTGGCAGTAGCGCAAGCCAGAGCCTGAAGAGCAGCGAGAGGAGACATGCGGAGGAGGAACTCGATTGGGGGGAGAGCGAGAGAGCCAGTCATGAATCGGTTGGTGACGACAGTCTATAAAATGGTTAATAAAGAGTTTAGCCCACATGAGGACAGAGCATACCTTGAGAGCGGCGAGCACAACACCAAGAATGGTGAGAAGGAAACCGGCATCAGTGAAGCTCATCTCACCCAGTGTGGTCATGGCAGCACCGATGATAAGAGGCAGGAGGGAAAGGTATGTCATGGTGCTGTAGGTTCGGCCGTAGTAAGTGCGGTAGATAAGGATGGTGAAGATCGGGCAGAGCATGCGCATGGTCTGGTAGAAAGGAACGGAGACCATAGCGAGAGACAAGTTGGAAACGGCGATATTGGCAGTGAAGAGAGCACTGAAAGCAACGAGGGCGAGGTTCTCGCGACGCCCTAATCGTGAGAGTTTAAAGTAACCCATTTGCATCATGACATAGGTACCGACACTGGCGAATGAGGCGTGGAGGAAAGTCAAGAGCCATGGGAAGTGGAACTATTGGAAGCGCATGTAAGTCTTTGGACTATCAGGGTACCACAAGCGGTAGATGCTGTCAACTTACCATTCCCAGAACAAGCTTGTTGTAAAGAGTGAGGAGCAGAGAGAAGAAAAAATAGGTTCCGAGCCATGCGAACTTGACGGTACTGGGGATAGAGTACTCGTGCTCAAGGTTATTGTTCTTGGGAGGCTCGGCTCGGCCAGCGTCGCTCTCGACGTCGAGTTCGCCCTTGATATCACGCTCTCTCTCCTCGGCGGAGAGGAGAGGAAGAGGCTCCTCGTTATTGGGGCGGGAAGACATGGTGATGGATGCGCCGGAGATTCGTGGGGATGCGATCAGGTGCCGTTGACGTTGAGGTTATCGTGGGGTCTCTAGCATAACCCGGAGTCGACTCAATCAATAACGACGAACCGACTAATAAATCCGCAAGCGCAGTCGATTACCGACAAAATGCAAATGCAGACCAAGGTGCAGCCGAGTCTTTGATGTATGTAGTTGTAGGTAGTTGTTAAGTGGAAACGTAACACGGAGATAGATGGAAGCGAAGAAAATACAGGGGCCAAGCCAAGGGGAGAAGGGGGCGGAGGCGCGTAATATGATGGAATAAAGCGAGCGATTGGACCCAGACAGGGAGATGAATATGGAGACAAGACGAGACAGGCGAAAATCAAGTACTGATCCCAGGGAAGAAAATGATCTTGCACAACACGCACACACAAAAAAGAAGAGAAAGTTGTGAAGAGTTGTTTCTTTCGAGGAGCTCGAAAAGGAGGGAAAAGAGGGAGTTTAAAGTGACGGGACGGGGAAGAAGGAAAAAAGAGTTGGGAGGCAGAAAAAAGGGAGGAAGGTTTTTAGGGAGACAAGCCCCAAAAAGGATCTCAGGCTTACTGTACCTGTGTGATCTGTACCCCCCAAATCAATATCTACGGGGAGGTTCGGAGGCTTCAGTGATTGATAGCGGGGGTGGTTGCCAAAGGAAGTAGTCGGCGGGGCCTTGCAAGTGGCTTCCAAAAACGGAGCTATTGGATCGGGGTGCGGAGTTTGGAGGAAAAGCCACTGGAGTGTGATTCGAGGTACACTGAGGTGAGGTACCTTGTGGCGTCTGTGTCAAGATTTAGTGAACAACTGTCAGCATTGGCGGAACCTGCTCGCAGTAACCATTACCAGCCTTGATTAGCCATGCTTGCTTGGGTGGGCTATTGTTCCAAATGGATTGGATTCTTGAATCCTGCAGTGGGAAATTAAGGTGATCGCTATTACATAGGCAGTGGCAGTACCTAGTGATTGATAGAGTTCCGCACCAGATCTCACCTAGCACATACATACTGACTTTACCTGCCACGGATGGATAGAGGTTAGAAACCTCTCCACTGTACAACCGTTAGAGGATCAATTTCATCTTATCACTCTTCACCAACCAACGCAAACTCAATTCATTCAGCAAACAAGCTTACAAGGATGCTTGAATGAAGACTCGGGACTACTCCCTCCAACGACCTAATGCAGGAAAGGACTTTCGATAAATCGTTTTTATTACCGCCTTTGGAACGTGATCCTGTTACCTGTACATGTATAGTCCAGGGGTCCAGAAGAACCTAACGCGATGGCACTCTACTCTAATCAGAAAAGGGGGCGGGGACATCTTGTCGCGAACCAGGAATACAGCATCTCAGACCAATCACAACATCTCGTGTTGACAATTCTAGCAAGTCACTGGATTGGGTGATGTTGGCTAATGAGAGAGGCGTCAGTAGTTTTATGCTGATATGAGTTGATACAATATCGAATATGGAGCTGAACAGACTGGCCCAGACTGCTCAGGGTGTTATCTTCTTGGTCACGGAGAAAAGGAATTTTCTTCTTCCAAGTGGGTATAATAAAACTCTAGTAACAATAAAACAGTATCCGTTTGTAGTCGGTATTTGTATGTGGTATTCTCGACACCGGCTCTCGCAGCACGGATCTCATGTAGACATAACTCAATCTCTATAGGTATTACAAGCGAGAGAGGGCACGTCATTCTCTAGTTAGAGTTGATTTATACCCGCACATATACGTGTTGAGCCGCGTTGTCGTGAAACGGGCCAAGGACCAGGAAAACTGTCCATCATCAAGAACACGCAAGCTCTGGGTTACGTAGGCCAAGGGACAGTGGGAGAAGACGATGGGCATAGTTGTTCCGCGTATTCATGGCTATTTTTATATGCACCGGCACCGGCACTTGCTCTCTATCTCTAACGGCACTCAGAAAGATCAACACTGCTATGAGACTGTAAGCGTTTAGTCGTTGAGGTCAGTCCGTGATTGGACCTCAATACGATTATCAGTGAGCAATACGAACCACATCTGCAGAGAGTGTCAGACGGATGTCTCCTTTAGACGTGTACAGAGAAAGAAGAAGAAAAACATCATTCAGAAGCTGTCACGAGACCAATTCCAAGAACCAAAAAAAAGGAGTAAATAGGCCGTTGACTTTTGCGCCATCCAAGGCCGTTGTTTCCGCCCCATTCATTGTTGCGTCGCCTCAAACTCAAGCGCCCTAACAGGTTTGAATAGCCTTGGCAGATTCCTACAATCTGCACAGCAATCCAAATTTTTTCTTTCCCACGCCATGAGACTCCATTTACCGTTGATCCGATAATTTGTTCTTGGCGGTAGTATCAGAATTCCAACGAAGCAGCCCCTGATAATCATGTTAGTTTATGTCTCAGATTCTCGATAACTTTATTTGTCACTATCCGTTGAGTGATGCAGAATATCAGTCTACGAATGCAAGGATCTGATTGTGTCTCAGCCCCGGAAGGCCGATGCCGCCCTTACAGAAGTCCCCTGCTTATGATGCTAGAGATGGATCCTTGTGGGCATGAGTATGTGTGTACTTAGTTCGAATAATGTCGCCTTATGAGGATGGCGAGGCAGGGATGCTAATACGTAGTCTGACGGGAAATGTAACGGTGATTTCTGCAATGGTGACCATCGATATTTCAGGGCAACTCGATGTCGATCCTGATGCTTCAGTGTAGGATCAATTTCGTCTTGACTTGCGTTCTCTAATGGTCGCAGTGTCTACTTATGCGGATATCTATGCTCCGAGATCCAAAGCCACACAACAACAGCACAGCACTTCAAGTCTTCATATCTCTCTGGTCTTGCGCCATGACTGTTTCATTTGCCCGCCCTCATTTATTCACATTCCATTGACTTTAGTAACCGTTGGCTCTATTCAAGGGAGATTCTCCGGATCCGATCAAGTCTCCAACGGCAAGTTGCCCAATCACAAACAACTAAACTGTCTTCCATTTTATTTTGATGTTTAAGCTCTTGGTCATTCATTGGTATTCATCAATTCCTCTATTACCGTGTTAGAAAGGCAGAAAGTGGCGTTATCAGGTGTGCTCTCCAAGCTCACATACAAACCATTTACGGCATTTACGGCATCTACGGGACATGCGAACATACGACTGAACACGCGACAAACAAAGAGACACTTCATATATCATGACACTTCTAACATTCAAGGGCCGATAAAGAGCATTCTTGATGTTTATGTAAGATAAAACGGCCAGCAAGAGCGAAGTGTACATGAAAAAAAAATATTTTGTACGTCCATATGCTCTTATTTTCGTTCTAGGATATCATCGATATATAAGGTAACTTTCAAGACGATACATATACCAAGCATCATGACTCCATCGCTTAACAAAACAAAAATTCTTACGCTTCCGTCTCAAGATTTTCCAAAGGCACATAACCCTCCTCTTTCTTAGCTCTTCTCCTACCCAGGGTCTCTCGCACCCAGCCTACAATACCTCTTCCACTCTTCCAGCGAAGACCACCACGCTGCTCAGCGGCAGCCTCATCCATCCATCGGGGACGCTTCCAGAACTTGAGGAACAGGCTGCTCACGACGACACTGACGCTACTGCACGCCATAGCAAAACCAGCCATCATGGGGTGCATGTGGAAACCAATGGGCAGGAAGAAGCCCATGGCAATTGGCAGACCGATAATGTTGTACATGCACGCCCAGGCAAGGTTCAGCTTGATGCGACGGAAAATGTACCGAGTGAGGTCCATCGCCGCAGGAATAACCATCAAATCGGTTGGGCGCATGAGAACGATATCGGCGGCTTCCATGGCAACGTCTGTACCGCTAGCCATAGCAATACCGATATCAGCAGTTGCAAGTGCAGGTGAATCGTTAATGCCGTCGCCAACCATGGCTACGACCTCGCCTTGTTCTTGGATTTGCTTGATAATCTCTTGCTTCTGGTCGGGACTCATTCCGGCATGAACATTCTCGGGAGCGATGCCAACAGCTGCAGCAACACTGAGGGCAGTAGATCGCTGGTCACCAGTAACAATAGCTGTCTTCACACCCAGCTTGTGAAGGGCCGAGATGGCAGCAGCTGCACCCTCCTTAATAGAGTCAGCCAAAGAGAGGTGGCCGCTGTATTTACCATCGATAGCCACGAAAATGTGAGTGGTACCAGTGGCAGGTCCCTTGCGAGAAGCCTTGGTTGCGCTAGAGTCGAGTTGCTCTGATGCCTCGATGACATCCTCGGGGACCTCAATGCCGTTTTCCTGCAGGTAGGCAACGTTACCGACCAGCGCCCGATAGCGGTTACGGTCAACAGCTGACGCAGGTTCAACCAGAGCATTGATGCCCTTGCCAACAGTGACCTTGAACTCGCCGACACTTCCTTCAAGAACGCCATCGACCTCAATATCAAGCTCTTGTCGAGCTCCTGCAAGGATGGCCTTACCAACGGGATGTTCACTGCCCATTTCAGCAAGGCCAACAATAGCCCACCAAAGTCGACGTCGCCATTCGTTATCATGCCACTCAGACTCGAGAACAGATTCGACAACGCTCATCTTGCCATAGGTGATGGTACCAGTCTTATCGAGGACAACCTGTGTAACCTTGGTACATCTCTCGAGAGCAGCGCCACCTTTGATCAAAATGCCGTTCTCAGCACCAACGCCAGTACCAACCATGACGGCAGTAGGTGTAGCTAGACCAAGGGCACAAGGGCATGCGAAAACGATGACAGAAATGCAGAGCTTGACGCAGACCATGATCTTACCACCGCTGGAGTCCTGCAAAAAGATTTTAGGTGGGTTTGTAAGCACATGGCTAAGAACCATCCAGCAAAGAAACGTGCTCAAGCCAAGAATGAGAATAGCAGGAATGAAATACCCTGCAATAGTATCGGCGAGTCGCTGGATGGGTGCCCGATTGGTCTGAGCATCTTGAACCAGCTTGACGATTTGGCTGAGCTGAGTGTCACGACCAGCACGAGTGACTCGAAAGTCAACACGACCATCACCATTGACGGATCCGCCAATGACGTGATCGCCGGTTCGCTTCTGAACAGGCATTGCTTCACCTGTCACCATGCTCTCATCTACGAAAGTCTCTCCTCGGACAAGGACACCATCGGCAGGCACCTTATCGCCAGGTCGCAGAATGACGACATCACCAAGCTGGAGAAGCTCAGTAGGAACAGATCGCTCCTCGTGGGCCGAACCACCAACTCCTGGGGTTTTGGGAGTAGTTGGGTCCTTACCCCAAGCCTCAGCAGCCTTCTCAGCAGCAATGGGGTCTACGTAGATTGTAGCCATAGAGGGTGCCAAAGACATGAGCCGAGAAAGAGCCTTGGATGTCTGACCCTTGGCGCTATTCTCAAGGTAACGACTTAATGTGATAAATGTGATGAGCATAGTGCTGGTGTCAAAAATGGTGCTCGGCCTGGTATGAGGAGGCAAAAGCAGAGAGACGGTCATTGTCAAAATGCTGAAGAAGAAGGCACAAGATGTTCCGAGGATAACAAGAACATCCATTGTCGGTGAGCGGTGCTTGACTGACTTCCATGCTGAAATATAAAACCGCTTTCCAATGCCGAATTGGACTGGTATCGTAAGGACTAAACAGATAATGTCTCCAAGATAGAGACCGGGAATCAACTCAAACCTGCCAAGATCGAGAGCTGGCGCACACATAGGCAAGATCATGTTCAGAATAAAGACCGGGATAGCAAAGGCTAAGGAGGTTCGAAAAGCCGTCCTCCACTCATTGATCTCTCGTGTCTTTGCGAGTGACTCAAGCTGTGCATTGTTGTCTTGGGTGTCGGCCACAATGGCGTTGTATCCCTTAGCTTCGACAGCTTCTACGATGGCCCGAAGACCAATAACACCAGGTTGGTGAGTGACGGTGAGGCGTGATGAAGCAAGGCTTACCGAAACTGAATCGACGCCGTGCATGGCTGTCAACTCAGCCTCCAAAGCTTCTGCTGCAGCCGCATCGGGAACACCATAAACTTTGAACTGTGCCGTGGACGATGACCCGCTATGATGTTCATTGGTTGGTTGCGAAGAAATAACTTCCGCGTCGAAGCCACGGTCGTCGATTATTTCCGCTATTTGGTCCGGCGAGAGTTTGGTAACATCATGTGTAATAACGGCTCTTTCCGCGAGAAGACTGATATTGAATTTGAGGACGCCTTCTACGTCCTTGAATCCACCCTCAACAGCTGATGTGCAAGCACCGCATGTCATGCCCTCGATCGCTACTGTCGTGATGGCAATGTTGCCGGCGTTGTCAGCATCCTTGCCAGGTTTGTCAGCCACCACTTTGCCCGAGTCGACAATCGTAGCATCAAAGCCGCGGTCTTCGATGATTTCGGCGATTTGTTCGGCAGTGAGAAGGTCGGGATCGTGTTCGATAACAGCTCTCTCGGAGAGCAATGAGATGCTGAAGCTCTTGACACCAGGAACATCTTTGAAGCCACCTTCAACGGCGGAAGTGCAAGCTCCACAGGTCATGCCCTCGACGGCGATAGTTGTCGTAATAAAGTCGTTGTCGTCTTCGTTGTGTGTAAAGCGTCTGGCGACAGGGCTGGGGAGGTCGGTCGAGAGGACTTCAGCATCGAAGCCTCGGTCTTCGATAATATCTTTGACTTCGTCGGCTGAGATAACTTGAGGGTTGTGCATGATGACTGCCCGCTCCATAACCAGACTGACTGAAACGTTTCCAACACCATCGACGCCCTTGAAGCCAGCTTCAACAGCAGAAGTACATGCGCCGCATCTATAGAGGAAACAGGGTCAGTGATATATTCCCGAACAGGTCGCATGAACTTGGCAGAGGGCCGCAAAAGCCGAACGAAACTCCATAACTGGGTCCCGGGATGACCGGCGGAAGTTGAGGAAAAGAATAGAACTGTGATCAAACTCACGTCATGCCGTCCACTCGAAGTGTCGTTGTAGCAAGATGGGCGCCGGCGCCGGGACTCCTCGGAACGGAGAGCGCGACATTATTTGTGTCCTTGTTAGGGACTTGGATGTAGGCGGGAGCCATCGCGACGGCTTGTGGCTCGTGAGCCTCGACTCGAGGATCGTGAATATTTTGCGATCCTCAGAAGCCAAGAGATTTTGAAGTTGAAGATTGATAGCCAGAAGGCGGCGGAAAGCGGGATGAACGGCACTTGTGGTCTTGGGTCTCACTCTCGCGGTTAGACTCGTTTGGTGGTTGGTTGCTAATAATGGAATGAACGGGTTCTAGTTCAATCGTCCAGCCACGACCATTTCGATTTGGTGGAGATTCGATGCAAACAATAAATCGAGCAGCAGCTCGGCAGAAAGAGAGAAAAGAGATAAAGAAGAAGAGTTGCAGTGTTAGACGAACAAGGAAATCGGAGGCCAAGATCAGTACTGTATCAAGCCCGGACTGGAAGGTCACAGCTTATGCCAGTTGATAACAAATGCGCCACTAAGACCACGAAGACCGGCTTCAATTGCTGATGTATGTGTATACGTATGTCGGCTATTTTTGGCGTTAGTCAGACGAAAGAAAGAGAACAAAATGAACGACCACTTGGGTACGAGAAAAGAAGAATAAGAAGAAGACACCAGGCCAAGAATAAAAGGACATGACATGAGCAAGATTCCAAAGGACGGCGTCTCGGCGTTTTAACTACGATTCAGGGGAAACACTCACTGCTATTAGCAAGGAAACACCAACAAAACAGTTCGCGAGGCGAGAGGCCCAAAAACCATCACATCCGGGACGAGTCTTGGCTCAGCGACTGTTACGGTCAAGTTCCAGTTTGGGGTCTGTTTCCGCTGTATCCAAGACGGTTTGATACCTCTCGTTGGTGGATTTAATACAAAGATGCGACTGCTGGAGCACCAGATTTCTTGCTTGCAGGGATGTTTCACTAGAGACTCAGAAATTCCCAAACGAGGCCCAGGGTCTCTTTGAACAATGGAGATGAATAGGGAGCTTGGGGCCGGGAAATGCTGAGACCTGAGACAAGGGGACTCCGCTATTAAAGAAAAACCTGGTCGATTGGCCGCAATCTGTTAGTGAGCAGTGACAGATGCTCAGGCAGTTCAAAAAAAAAAGTCTGTGAATGGTTGTGAAAGAGTGAGATCTGTGAGATCGGTGCAACCATAGCCACAAGGCGAAGGCCGCTGATGTTTATACCTCATCACTACCTAGTCTTATCTCTCCTTTTATTTCTCAGTCACAATGTGACTAGAGTTCTGCAATAGCTCACTTTCAGCTGGCCTTTTATGGCGCCATCTCTTGTCCTGAAAGGCGCAAGTGTCGATCATTCAAGTTGCTTCAGCACCCAGACTGTCCAACCAGCTTTTACCCTTCATGAACTATCGGAACTAGACACACCGACCTCTCTTTGGGAAGACTTCAGCTTGGCTTAGAACTGAACAGGAGTTGAATCTTCAATTTCCTGTTATTGTCGATCGCAACTCTGCCGTCGACCTCTAGTCGACCATCACCAATCATCGCGTGTCTTTTGGAGTAGCAATGTCTTACTATATGTAAGACGCAATAGAGTCCAATTGTGAGGTCTTTCAGGCGGATGTTCCACGTTCCGGCAATCAATGTCGATGTGTCGCGTGTAAGGCTACAGCTGCCAATGCGGTCAGCATGTCTCTGCCTTGCAGCCCACCAGCAGTACGAACGCTAGACTCTTTGTCACTCGTAGCTGAACTCAATAAGTTCCCAAGACAGCATAGGCAAGTCCACCAGTGGCTAAGTTATCGTATATGTGGTGGCTTCTTGCCAGTTTCCTTGGCGATAGACGGTTTGAATTGAGTTTGTACATGTTTTGCACAGCCATTGGCATACTCGAATGTTACATCGAGTATCATTTGGCTGCCTTTTAAAAAGCATATTCTGGTTGTGGTTTGCGTTGGTACAGAGGTGGATGAGTTGGGTATCGCTCTTTACACATAATCTAGATATACAGGAGCCATGGTATGAACATAACTGGCAGTGTCCAGCTCCGACATCAAAAGCCAAGACTGCTCCTTGAGTGGCTCATGCAACATGAGAGATGAAGTACAAGGCGACAAGCCAGAGAACTCCAAGTCAAGATTGAACACCATTATTCTATCACGGACATATAAGTACAGGGTAGTCGGCTTCACATTGGAAGACCCCACGCTTACAAGTAATTCGACCCCACATCCCATGAGCCCCGCGCCCACCATACGCTGCCTGCCTAGCGCTCCAGCCTCACCTTGAACTAAGCTCCGATGCTCCATCTTGAACTTCATCGACATATCGCTTGCACAAGCTGCGACTATCAACATAGAGTATTTCCCTGGGCCCGAGCCTCAACCAGAGGGTATAATAGAGCGCAGGAAATTACGGACTTTCACTACAGTCACTACTTTCCGCCTCTCTCCGTGCTGTGACGTACTTGATATCCGTCGCCTATCCCCCGAGGCTGTCGCCTCAACCACACCACATCATGGAGCAGACGAAGGCTCTTAACGCGCTGGAGGTATGCATAACTAGGAAAAGCAAGATGAAACAGACTGACAACTGCATTAGCCATTCATCGCTCTCTCCAAATCAGCTACATCTCCTCGCGCAGCTGCGGATCTCGTCACCAGAGCTACATCAGCACCAAACACATTCCTCTTCAGTGATCTCTTACAAACACCCGTCATCCAGAACCTCGCCGACTCAGAGTTCGCTTCGCATCTAAAACTTCTCCAGATCTTCTCCTATGGAACATACTCGTCATACAAAACGACAGAAGGCCTACCAGCGCTTGCCGAAGTACAGGCAACTAAGCTACGGCAGCTATCGCTTCTATCACTGGTCCGAGATCGACAGAACCTCTCCTATGCCGCGCTACAGGAAGCCCTGGATCTTCCTGGAGCACGCGAGGTAGAGGCGTTGGTGATTTCTGCGGTTTACGCTGGTCTACTTCACGCCACGCTTGACCCAGCTCGTGCAGTCGTGCAGGTCACCAGTGTTGCGCCTCTACGTGATCTCGCCCCTGGAGCGATACCTGACATGGCCGCTGCGTTGAAGAAATGGTCTGACCGCTGCACCACCACCCTCGAAGGCCTTGATCTTCAGATCAAGGAGATCCGAACAACAGCCGCAGCTCGACAGCGTGAGCAGCGCCTGGCGGACGAGAAGTTACAGCAGTTAATCAACGAACAACAAGAGGGAATGGGACCACGCAAGTACGATCTGCCAAACATGACACGGGACCTGGGTAGACGGGGGTTTAACAAGCGATCAGTCATGGATACAGGTAATTTGGTGGACAACGACAGTATGGATGTCGACGAGGCCGAAGAGGAGAAGAAACGAGCAAATAAGCGCAAGCTTTGAAGACAGTATCCCTTTCGAGTCAGGAGAACCAAAAGTCAAGCTCGCAACACGTGTATCACGAAGAACCATGACATAATAGACGATACGGCGCCTTTTTATTAGCCCTACATCGGTACAGAATGCCGCCCTGAGACTTGTACTAATTCTAATGACCTGTCAAGGTCATAAATAAGAAGGAAAAACGCATGGCCGGAAATGATTCAAGATCATGTTCCAGACCGGGAATAGCTAAATTACAAAGAAGACCTGGTTGATAAACAGTAGATTTCCGTACGCCAGCCTCAAGAAAACAACGCCCGAGCTCAATCGAGAGACTGGGATAGTATTGTCGCTTAATCAAGGCACCTGATCATTACAGTCGTGAGTATTGATATGATGTCCAAAGAGACTCTCGCGGAGATGGCTTTTTCTTTTAATGGGAATTTGAAAGGCCAGTAATGGCCGGCATTAGTGACCGCGGTTGAATGTGAAAAGAATAGTTGCTTAAAGACGCTTTCCCGGAACAAGAATGAAGAGAACACAGAGTGCAGCATCAATGAGAACAGTCACTGCGAGGACCATGATAGCACGCTTGGCGATGAGCTTGCGAACGTAGGGTTCACGAATGCGAGAGAAGTTGAAGGGGGTGTACTCGCTGTAACCAACCAGGGCCATAATAGGGTCCAGAGAGTATTGGTAAGACGCAAGAAAATAGACACCGACGGTGAATGGGAGGATGAGCTATTGAGAGTCAGTAAGTTTTCGAGAACTCCCTTAAATGAGGCACTTACCCAGCATCTGGTTGCACGAGAGTAGTCAAGAAAAATGAGGACAAACGCAGCCCAGAGGGCGGCAAACATGGCAATAAGACCAAGGATAAGTCGCATGATGAGAGTAGGTGGGATAAGGTTGCCCAGAGCCTTCATTCGAAGGAAGCCTGGGAAAGCATCTCGCTCCATAGCCTGAAAGACATAGTCCTTGGCAACATCAAATACCTCGGGATCGTCGCGGCCATACTCTTCGATGGCAGTAGTGACCTCTGCGGTAATAGAACCTGGGAGGGTGATTTCTCGCTCGGCTCCAGGAAGAAGGAAAGTGTAGAGAATTTTCTCAGCTGAGGCTCGGATGTCCTGTCGCGCAACGGTATGAGCGGGCGAGTTGGATTCGGTAGTGACTTCGTGAGAGTTGCTGAACTGAGGGCTGGGTCTAACAGGCGCAGAGGCACTCTGAGGTGAATCGTGACTTTGGTCCTCTCTAAGGAATGCAGACATTTGCGCATCTTGGTTCTTCTCCTTCTCAGTCGCATACATGGACGGACCTGCCGTTCTAGGTTCCAAGTCGCCAATATTCTCGAGGATAGCTGAAGATCGTTTTGATTGTGCTTCGGGAGTGCCAATAAGGACGGATCGTCGAAGTTCGCGAACATAATGCCGGCAGAGCGACATGTGCTGGGCAACATCAAGCCTGGCTATGTCAGCTAAGCTCTCTGGAAAGTCAATCCTGCATGAACCTACCAGAAGTCGAGATAATCCACCGAGCGTTGCTGATCGCGCATGTAGATATAGAACGAGAAAAGGTCGACGGGAGGGAGAGTGCGACGACTCAAGACCTCAAAGAGCGTAGGCAGTCGATTTCTCGTCATGTCAGGCTGAGGCGACGGCGATGCCATCGTGGTAACAGGTTCGTGTTCGGCCATGTCGGGCGAACGTATTATACTTGTCGATAAGGTGAGAGTGAATGTTAAAATGAAAGAGGCGTTTCTGGCGCGCGGAGTAACTGCCGGGAAGCTTTATGGAAGGGTCCGGGTACGCGAAGTTCCCCTGATTACAACCGACGACAGGCCGCTAAGTCTTGTCGAAGCAACCGCACACTCTCCTAAGCGAAGCAGTCTCCGAATGAGAGAAATGAGACGCTTATGCGCAAAGGATGGCGATATTTGCGGTGCCTTGAAATCAATTGCCCCAAGCTGGAATGATGGAATCGTTATGCAGCAACGGCCAAGATTGGATGCAATGCTTGCTTCGCGGTAAACACCACTGGAGGCTAAACGTGGACCATACAACGCCTCTAGCCCATCTGGGGTTAGCTGATTGTCTGAACTGTGAATCGACCGCTATCACGTGAGAGCCTGGTGGGCCATCAGGGCTGCGCTCTAATTGGTTCGCCAGGCCCACAGAGTGCCTGCCGATTTCGAGGGCTACGCACAAAGATTTTTGGCAATTACTCCAGCTACTTCATCACACCTTCCTAACGACCAATCTCGAAGAGACGAGCCGCAGGTACGACCAATACTCCCTCCTCTCCTCCCTCGAAGTCCTTTTTCTCTCAAGAGACTACGAGCACGAGCGACTCATTCTTTTCTCAACTTCGTCGACCGAAGGACTAACCCTCATATTTCCAGCCATGTCGTCCAAGAAGCCCTCCGGCAAGACTCAGCGCTCCGCCATCGCGGATGTCGTCGCCCGCGAGTACACCATCCACATGCACAAGCGAGTACGTTGCTTCGCCAAATAATAGCTCGAGAACCGGAGCTGCAAATGTCTGGGTTAAATGCTAACGAGCAAAAGCTCCATGGTGTCACCTTCAAGAAGAGGGCCCCCCGTGCTATCAAGGAGATCAAGGCCTTTGCCACCAAGTCCATGGTACGACTATCCATCCTATGAGCCTGATGTCGAATGCGAAGCAATTGCAGAGGACAAAGCTGTCATTTCGAACCACACGTGCTAACATTCACGATAGGGTACCTCTGATGTCCGCATCGACCCCCAGTTGAACAAGAAGGTCTGGGAGCAGGGTATCAAGGGTGTTGACTACCGACTCCGAGTGCGAATTTCCCGACGACGAAACGACGAGGAGGGTGCCAAGGAGAAGCTGTACAGCTACGTCCAGGCTGTGAACGTCAAGAACCCCAAGGGTCTTGCCACAGTCGTTGTTGAGGAATAAATATAAAAAGTTTCTCTTGGGACAGGTTCTATGGTGGCATGGCATTTGGAGTTGCATTCGGCATTCTGGCTTTTGACGCTGAATATACACAGAGGGAAAAAAATGTGATCAAAGCTTGAAGTCAACACAAACGACAATCGGTGCCTCGGCGTGAAGTGGTCTATGGACAAGGCTTTTTTTATGAGGGCGAAAATAATCATTTACGTTCTGACGTGATGATGCAAATGTTATGAGTCGTCGATTAGAGGGTCTGCTATCGACAATGGTGTACATGTTTCTGACCCTATCAAAATCCCCTCCCTTCGCTGTTAAACCAGCTGTGGAAATGCCATGCAATCCTGTAACCTACCAAGTCACCAAACCAAATTCCGTACACCTGGTACTCCTGTTCCTTTATACAATTATCAAAGCACAAACCCCTAGTAAAACCTAGTTATTCGTCCTCAACATCCCTGTGGCGTGCCAGGACCTTCTTCTGGAACTCCTCGGTATCCTTGTCCCACAGCTCGGCAGCCTCACCGTTGAGGGGTGAAGCACTGAGAATTCGTTAGTGAAAAGGTTATGGTCAATCTCGAAACTTTGTACGTACTTGTTGGGCTCGCCAAGCAAGCTTTGAAGGCTCAGCAGAACAGTTTGGATGTTGTAAGCAGCAGTCCACTTGTCCTTGAGAATGTCCAAGCAAATGCGGCCGGAGAAGTCGACATTAGGATGATAGATGGGTGTCTTGAAGAGCACCGTAGGAGCGGCGTAAGGGTAGTTGGAGGGGAATGCAAAGCTGAGCTTGAAGGTCAACCCGGCGTAGGGAGTATCGTCGGGACCCTCAATGGTGGCAGTCCAAGCGAGGAGGTTTCCATCCGCACCGGGGAAGGCAGAGACGCCGGGAGCGGGCGACGTCATGAGTTGCATCAGCTCGGTCTGCAGTCTGTCCAGAGTCAGCATCCGCAGCGACTATAATGTCTCGGGACGAGTATTCACCTCTTGGTCGTGCTTTGAGAGTCAGGGCCCTTGTGGCCAGAGTTAAGCTTGGCGGCCTGGACACTGCCGGGAGCTGAGTTCTGGCTATCCTCCATGTTGTAGTTCATTGTGAGATGTTGATGCTGATGTTGTTTCCTCGAGTAAAACTGAGTATGGAGAGATGCCGACAACCAAGAAAGCAACAGAAGAGTAGATGCTATTATAGGTTGCTAGGGAGCGGTAGGGAATTGTTTATGTACAGACAACAATTCCGCAAGTGGAAAGAGGTGAAGGTGGACGAATGCAGGGGCGATTGAGGGAGACAAAAAGACGTTTGGCTGTGGCGTACACGGGAAGGGGTGAAAACGAATAGAGAGAAAGCCCGGGTTCTAAGTTGTCTTTAAAAGTGAGACGATGTGCAATATATTATTTTGGATTGCGACAGAATTGAATAAATGGAAGGGCAGTGATTTCTTAACTCAAGCTTGAACAAAGGCTCCAACTGTTTACCGCAGCAACCAGCGCGACTAGGGTCCAGGTGAATAATACACCACAGCCAATGGTCTCCAATACAAGGCAGCAGTGCTGAAACTGTAGGGCATGTTTGTGCTGTGAGAGGATGCACAGGGCGCTAAGTGACGCTATCTTTAGGGGACCTGGATCGGGTCTCACAGCAACAAAAAAAAAAAAACACTTTACGCGGTGAATAGACGCGGACCAACGTGTACAACTTCTGGACTTGAAGTATCAGGACGATATTCCTCAACTGAGCGATTGGTTATTGTTGAACAAGAATATTACTAGTAGCAACACAATCCAGATACCATCATAAATTCACCTACCTACCTTTACACAATGGTAAGCCGGACATTCCTTATTTAGCCCCTATCAATAGCGTCTACCAAGCTTTTCTCCAGTGGCAGATCATCAGTATCAAGGAGATTGTGAATGATTCACGGTCATACCTTTATAGTTTCCCCCGACAGATCTTAGCCTCCCGGTTCGCTTTCGGTGCCAAATCTGAGCTGTCGCTGCTTTACTCTGAGCAGAGGTGATCAGGAGGGTGATCAAGTCTGAGCACGACAGAACTCTCTTGCGCTTCAGGTACGCATAGGTCGCCGCAGAAGGGATACCAAAGCGGAGAGCCTCTTAAGCCCTACGATTCCGTATCCCTTGCGGTCGGTGGGTTATGTCTGTTTCGTGGCTGTGATTCCTATTACGATGCTTGCCGGGGCGATACTTGTTGCAATCAGCTTCATATTGGCAGTATATCGGCGTGTTGGCTGCCGTCTTTCCATAGCTCATTTTCATAGGAAGCTGCATCGAAGACTTTCCATTTATGAATAGAAGACGAAGACTACTTCTTTATCCGGCTGGGCCGACGGTTCTCCTGTTGTAGTTCCTCTGACAACGTGGTGTTTCTTTTGTGGCGTCCTATTCTACACTCGTCAATCATGTTTGCTTCCACAGCAAGAATCATGTCATTCGTGATGTCTGTGCCAGATTCCCTTACTCCGGGCACATCTTGCGCCAGGGTATCAGACCCCTAATCTAACATAGCCTTAATAACCTGGATCTGCTCCAGCACAGCTGACCGACTAGTACCGCCTTTAGACGATTTCGCCTCGACACTCGACTCGTACTCGAATGCCTCCGCAATGCCCGCTGTGAATCGCGGATCAATAGCTTGCAGTTGCTCCAGTGTTAGCTTGTCCATTGAAACCCCAGAGTTTTCAGACAGCGCAACAACACGTCCAGAGATATGGTGAGCTTCTCTGAACGGGCACCCATTTCGTACCAGCCACTCCGCGACATCAGTAGCTAGCATCGTTTTATCTAGAGCAGCCTGCATCCGCTCAGGTCGCACCTTTAGTGTAGAGATGACACCGTTAGCTATGCCAAGACTATCAGACACAGTCTCAACTGCATCAAGCATAGGTTCCCATCCCTCCTGGGCATCCTTATTATAGCAATATGGCAGGCCTTTCATAGTCTGCCAAGTGAATAGTTAGTAGCTGCTCTCCATACGCTCTTGGTCGCAAAGGCGGGGCAATCGCCTGAAATGGTTATCAAGACTCACCATCATCAACCCAGCCAGTTGACCGAAAGAACGACCTGACTTGCCGCGCAAAAGCTCGCAACTATCGGGGTTATGTTTGTTTGGCATTAAAGAACTACCCGTACTGTATGCGTCGGCCAGTCGGAGGAAAGAGAACTCAGAGGATGAGTAAAGAATAAGGTCCTCAGCCCACCTACTGATGTGGTTGGTGAAAACGCTCGTGAAGATTAGGAAGTCGAGAATAAAATCCCTTTCAGCGCTTGTGTTCATAGAGTTCAAGGTGATTCCACTGAAACCAAGCTCCTGAGCTATTGAGTCTCGATCAATTCCAAAGGGGTTGCCAGCCAGAGCGCCGCAGCCAAGTGGACTGAGGTTGACCCTTTCGAAAACTTGGCGGAGTCGCTCGAGATCTTGCTTGAACGAAGCGGTATGCGCCATCAGCCATTGGGCCCACCTAAATTAAGAAATAAATGAGTGCTTGGGAGTGAAATGGAAGGGCGTGCTGATATACCTGATGGGTTGGGCGCGCTGGAGGTGGGTGTATCCTGGCATGATGTAGTCGCTGCGGTTGCCAGTCAGTAAGGCGGCGATTCTGGCTGGAGGTGGGGCTGGACTTACATCTCAGACTCGGCGCGGGCGATAATGACCTTGAGAAATGCAACGAGTTGGGCGTCGATTTCGCGGATTCGATCGCGTAGCCACATGCGCATATCGCAGACAACTTGCTCATTGCGGCTGCGCCCCGTATGCAGCCTACCCGCGATGTCCTTGCCGATGACCTCCCCTAGGCGACGTTCATTTGCGGTGTGGATCTGGCCCATTATGTTAGCTTCTAAATGCCGAGTAGAGTCGAGTGGCGTCTCACATCTTCGTCGTTCGGCATGATTGCGAAAGTTCCTTGCTTCCATTCCTCCATCACTTGGAGCAAACCACGCTCAATCGCTTGGAAGTCGTCTTCGCTAATAATGCCAGCCTTCGAGTTGGCCCGGGCAAAAGCGATCGATCCGAGGATGTCCTCCTTATAGAGAGCCTTATCGTAGTTGATGGAGGCATTGTACTTATACATGAGAGGATCAATTGCACCTGCAACACCGTGTAGTCAGTATCTAGCTATTCGAAGCTTGCTTTCCGGGGCATTCGAACCTGTGAACCGGCCTCCCCAGAGCATGTTAGCTGCTGGAGCGTCTGCCTTATTCTCTGCCATGATGAGGTCTTTGCGAGTGGTGTTAATTCCGTTCGTTGCTTTCGTTATCGAGGTCAAGGGCGGGGGTTGTTGTTAAATGTCGAGAAAATTGTCGAGGGGCAGCCGATACCGGCTAAAAGTTATCGCGTATGCGGCATCGGACAAGAGCTTGGGACCCAATGAAGGTTACCCTGCGAAATAAGAGTCACATTGAGAACTTTAACGGATGCCTGGGTTGATTAAGCTTGTGTCTGTTGTCGTGAGTCAGACTCTCATCGGACGCAATCAATTGGTTGGAGGCAAGAATCGCTGATGGTAAAAGCAGAACATTAATCAAGTGTTGAAAGAAAGAAACAAGCACTAGAATACGCCAAACTCCCCATCACTAACCAATCTGCCTCCCTCGCCTCTGGTCGCGTCAAACTGAATCCTAGACTTGTATGAAGTTAAGAAGCTATAGTGTAAATTTAAAGTTGCATAGGTAAAAGGTAATAGGTTAGCATACAGCCTGTTAGAGGGAGAGGCGACGTCGAGGTGATCAAAGGTGATGCTCAGTGATTAAGAGCAGTGGTGCTGACTAACCAGATCGGGCCGCTGGCCGTTTCGTTGCAGACTACGGAGTACAGGTAGGTAGTCACAGTTACTCAATCTGCTGTGAATCGAGCTCGATCTTGTATGACTTCATTACCTAGACTCTTCATAACTAACACAAACCAATGAATCAGTCACAATTAGACCCCCTACCAACGGATCTTCCCTTCCGAATCGTCTCCAAGACCGTGGGTCGAGGAGCATATGCCTCGT